GGATAGCCGTCTCGATAGTCATTGGTATGGAGGATGTGTGAAGATGGAGGATGTGGTCTGTGTTGGCTAGTGGTACGAAGGTGTGAGAGTGTAATGGTGTAGCTGTGCTAATGACCTGATGCCTTCATTCTCTTTTAGGAGATGCTAGAAACTGAAGATTTTTATGAGGAAAATCAAATATCTTGAATAGTATATACAAAAATTTGAGCACAAAAAATTATGTCTGGCTGATGAGTTTATTTATAATAGGTGACCAGATTACACATTTAAGCCAAAATTGAATCATTATTATTTGGTCAAATAATAAATGTCATGGATACTTGCCATTTTCCTGTCTAATATAACACTGCGTGCAGTGCAACAGCACGTACTGTTGATGGTCATGATGTCATTATGTAGTTGCTGCTCTCTCACATGGACTTACTCACTGCACACTGCTTTGTAGAATATCTTGATTTTAATTTTAGCACTGAAGGGGGCTGTGCTTCAAGCTGTGCTTCACTTATTCTTGGTATAGTCAGCTTTCATGGTATTCTTTGAGTTCTTCTCGTGGACTGCAAAACTGATGTATGCCCTTCAATATTCAGAGTGTACATGGAACTAAGATGATTTCCCAGCAATGACTTTGCCACTTGAAATGACCGACAGCGCAGCAGCATTAACACAAGCTGGGTTTTTGTGTTCCTCTGTGGACGCATCCCACATAACTGCTGCTCATTCATTGCCATGAACTTTCGTTAGGGTGGTGGTGTGAGTTAGCTCTGAAGAGGGCTATTCCTTGTGTTTTCTAAGACCCAGAGCCCTGCTGGTGCAGTGGTTCGGCATTCGGCTGTGATCGCATGGTGGGCATTGGGAACCGGCAGCTCCTGGGGAGAGACACTGGTTTCTCTGCTCCCATAGAACAGTTACAAACAGAAACCCACAGGGGTCACTGTGAGTCAGCAGTGACTCAATGGCAGTGAGTTTTTTTCTAAGCTCCTCTGATCCAATTCCTGATTCCATGTTCACCTGGAGTCTTTCTTTTATTGTTCAAGGCCTGTTTAATATGGATTTTTATTCCCAGGAATTTCTCCTCAAAGTAGGGCTGTGTCCTAGAAGAGAACTTCAGATGATGAGTTTTGAGAAAGCCTTCAAACTAGTTTGAATCCATTCAGTCATGCTAACAAAGCCAAATGAAGTAGAACCAAGTTTTGAAATGCTGTGTGAAGCTTAACAATAACCAGAACGAGGGGAATTATGGGTCACATTTCTGGGTGCATCGGAAGAGGCAGATGATCCTATTTTAGGAACCTGAAGTGAGAGGAGGGATTTTTCCATAACTGGCTCAATTTCTTTTTTCATGACTGTTCAAATTTTCTAACTCAGTCTGCTAGTTTGGTTTTACTGTTTTTCCAGACATTTGTTCGTTTCTTCATGTTTTAAAAATCTGTTGGAGTGCAATTCTTGATACTATTCAGTTGTCCTTTCTGTTTACCTGGTTCTCTTGTGAGGTTGCCTATTTTCATTTCTTGATCATGGTTTGTTGAATCTCCTTTTCCTTCATTAGATTTGCCAGCACTTGTCAGTTTTATTGATCTTTTCAAAGGTCTAACTTCTAGTCTTGTTGATTCTATTATTTTTGTTTTCTCTTCTCTAATCTTCATTATTTGTTTTCCTC